AAGCAGAATTGAATAGGGTGATGCCAACTCTGTCTTACAATTATTCATGGATCGCTAAAATGAAGATAGCATATTTGCATGGGATTTCCAAAGTTATGAGGAGGACAGACTTACAAGCTTTTTCTGGAGTGATGTGTCTTGCAGACTAGATTATGATAGTTTTGGAGATGTCATCATTTTCGACACTAGCTACCGTTTGAATAAGTATAATTTATGTTGTGCTCCTTTCATTAAGATTAACCACCATCGACAAAATGTTCTATTCGGAGTTGGTTTTTTATCTAACAAGACGATAGAATCATTCAAGTGGTTATTCAAAACTTTCATTCGTATAATGGATGATAAACATCCAATTACAATGTTTACAGATCAGGATCAAGCGATGACGGAGGACAAGAGGTATTGCAGATTGTCTTCCATTCACAAGACATAGATTATGTCAATGACATATCTATAAGAAACTCTCGTCGAAAGTTCATTGCAGTGTGACGTACAAGAGCGTTAACAATCTATTTTATAAATGCATGAACAAGTGTGATTCGGAAGACGAGTTTGAAGTTACTTGGTCTGGAACTAAGGCACTCACTACACTCATCTACACTCGCATTCACTCACAACTCTAAACTCAATTTTCTAGCCTAGGTCCCTTGATCTTTTTGGGATACCCACGTAGATGGTCCCCTAAACATACCAGCCCTATGATTATGGTTTGACTAAGACCACTGTGTAGAGGACCCAAAATGAGGTTTCCATTGGTCCATGGTTTTTTGGCCATATTACCTAATCACACCAAATTGAACTCATAGCCTAGTCAATTGACCCCAATTAATGTTGAAAAATCTTTATAACATTCTTATACATCAAAATCAACCATCAATTGGCCTTGGTGAAGCCTCAAATCCATTTAATTTTGGTCTAAATCCAAAATTCCCAAATTTAGCCCCAAATTGGGCTAAGTCCCCAAATTTCGGTCATATGCTCAAAAGTTTGCCTACCAATTAATTAATATAGCTCAGAGAAATGAACGCGCCGAGACATATATAATTGAATTATTGAAAACAGGGTCCAAAGGTATTGAGGATATGGTAGATGGGAAGGATCCTAAACCAAATAGGCTAAACAAAAAGAGGAAATCTCATAACAGTGACTGCAATGTGATTGATCCCGCAAAAATGAGACCGAAAGGTATTTCTAATGCGAGGTTGAAGGATACTGAGAAAAAATAAGGGAGCTAAAGGTATATATCTCTACATTACATATATTTACCATTCTACATTCCATATACTAACAAATATATGCAAAATTAATTGTCTTATTATTTTACCACTGTACGCAGGAAAAAATCAAGAAACATATATGACACAAGAATTACACAGGAATTATGACGCAAATACGACTGCAGCGTCAAACCCTCTGAGTCAGGAAATTGTCACACTGAATCCAACATGCTCTGTGCCCAGTATAATTCACCTGTTATAACGTGTTATGCCCACATTAACTCATCTGTATTAATGTACAAGTTCATATAACATTATTCCAAATGGAAGTTGTAGATATATGGTTTGTAATTCATCTGTCTGTTGAGTACAAAATTTTGTTATCTGTTTGTGGAATAACCCAAGAGTAACCTTACAATACCCTGACCGTAACCTTAGAATACCCCAATAATAACCTTAGAATACCCCAAGGATAATCTAACAATACCCCGACAATAACCTTACAATACACCGAGAGTAACCTAAAAATACCCCAAGAATAACCTAAGAATATTCCGGGAATAACCTAACAATATCCCGAGAATAACCTGAGAATACCCCAATAATAACCTAAGAATACCCCGAGAATAACCTGAGAATACCCCAAAAATAACATGAGAATACCCCAACAATAACCTTAGAATACCCCAAGAAATACCCCAAGAATAACCTGACAATACCCTGAGAATATCCTAAGAATACCCCGAGAATAACCTGAGAATACCCCAAGAATAACCTGAGAATACACCGAGAATAACTTGAGAATACCCCGAGAATAACCTAAAAATACCCCGAGAATAACCCGAGAATACCCCAATAATAAGCTTAGAATACCCCAATGATAACCTGACAATACCCTGAGAATATCCTAAGAATACCCCGAGAATAACCTGAGAATACCCTAAGAATATTCTAAGAATACCCCGAGAATAACCTAAGAATACCCCATGAATAACCTGAGAATACCCCAAAAATATCCTAACAATACCTCAACTATAAGATAAACCTGCACAAAACAACAACATATCAAACAGATAATACATTTATTCTCCAAATAATCTGTATCTGCAATATATCAACCGTAACCTACGAATACCCCAAGAATAACCCAACAATACCCCAACAATAACCCAACAATACCCCAACAATAACCTAACAATAACTCAACTGTAACCCTGCAATACCCTAGGAATAACCTAACAATACCTCAACTGTAAGATAAACCTGCACAAAATAACAATATATCAAACATATAATACATTTATTCTCCAAATAATCTGTATCTGCAATATATCAGTTGTAACCTACAAATACCCCAAGAATAACCCAGCAATACCCCAACAATAACCCAGCAATACCCTAACAACAACCTAACAATAACTCAACTGTAACATTGCAATACCCCATGAATAACCTAACAATACCCCTAGAATAACCTAACAAGATAACAAGACATCAATAATAACCTAGGAATAACCTAACAAAATAACAATACATCAACAATAACATGCAGTAACATATCAAACAAATAATACATATATTCTCCAATTAATCTGCACAAAATAACAATATATCAAACAACTTAGTCTTATAAGATAAACCTGCACAAAAGATAAACCTGCACAAAATAATAATATATCAAACAGATAATACATTTATTCTCCAAATAATCTGTATCTGCAGATTTCATATACTAGCTCTGCCCTAAACCGAAGCATCTCAGCCTGCCAGTCTTGAAAATCTTTCCAGTTAATCTTGCCTTTCTGTACAATTGTCTCCATATTTTTAGCCCAAGTTGTTGTAGGACCTCTGTTGGGCATGTCAATCAGCAAAGCAACTTGGTCTGCATCAAAGCTTAGCTCTTTCCCCCCAATCTGAAAGCCAATCTATTCATATCCCAATAATTCAATATGTGCATAGTTAGGATGTGATCTTGAGGATAGGGGGCAGATCAAACAACTGATTAAGCTTCATTCTTTTCAGAGTTGACCACGTCTCCCGATCAATAATTGGTCGAACCTTATCCAACACCTCTCTAACTGCTGATGGTCGACATCTACAATTCATTGACAGTTTATTCATCAACCTATAAGAATAAGATGCATGTTATTAACACTAGAATCACCAAAGAATGTTAGCAAAAAATGTTAGTCATCAATATACAGGAATAAGATGCATGTTATTAATACTGTTATTAATACTGGAATACCCTAAAACTAGATCAACAAATAACCTACGAATAACATACGTAGAACCTAAAAATTAACAAAACAATACATTAAAAATATCCCTGGAATAACCTATGCATAACCTAAAAATACCCTAGGAATAACCTATGAATAACCTGCACATAAACCTGAAAATAACTTAAAAATAACCCAGGAATAACCTAGGAATAACCTAAAAATAACTTAAAAATATCCTCAAAATCAGCCATGAAAAACCTAGTAATAACCTACTCATAACTTAAAAAAATAACCTACGCATTCCTTCAAAATTAACAAAACAATACACTAAAAATAACGTACAAATAACCTGACATAACCTAAAAATACTCTAGGAATAACCTATGAATAACATGCGCATAAACCTGCAAATAACTTAAAAATAACCCAGGAATAACCTAAAAATAACTTAAAAATATCCTCAAAATCAACCAGGAATAACCTAGTAATAATCTACTCATAACTTAAAAAAAAAACCTACGCATTACTTCAGAATTAACAAAACAATACACTAAAAATAATGCTCAAATAACCTACGAATAACCTGACATAAACTAAAAATACCCTAGTAATAACCTATGAATAACCTGTGCATAAACCTGCAAATAGCTTAAAAATAATCCAGGAATAACCTAAAAATAACTTAAAAATATCCTCAAAATCAGTCAGGAATAACTTAGTAATAACCTACTCATACCTTAAAAATAACATACACAT